ATGAGACCTACATATGGGCAAAATTTCAAGACATAATTTCGTCATTTGAATTTTTTGTAAATACCTTGTCATAGGCCGAAAAATCAGTAAAATGGCCATAACCCTCGAAAGAAGCAACATGGGCCTAAATCCTCTTAGGCTTTTTCTTAGCATACTGACCCCTACATATGGGCAAAATATAAGCAAAATCGGTGTGAATCACTTGAAACGGTTCCCTCGTTAGTTCTAATTGATGTTACAAGCAAAAGTTTAGGATCTTGAATAGAACAAACTAGATCTTAGTTATCTGCTAGTGATTGTCAATAGCATTTTACAATGAATTCTATGTTCGTTTATTTTTAGCTTATATTTAAATCTATTGATAGTGCAAAACGATAAAACAATGGCGTCTACATCTTCTGATGCTGCTCTAGTCAACATTACTGTTGAACTATCTTCGCAAGGAGGTAATAATAAAGTTAATCTAAACGGTATTCCATTGTCACTAACGGTGGGTGAGTTGAAAACAAAATTACAAGTACCACCAAACTCACGGTTTGGACGATTAGACCAGTTCGAAAATTGGGATAATCGACGATCACTGTCGGACTATTTTATCAAAAATGGAGAACAATTCCAGTGTGTCATACAATGTGTCATAGAAGACGGACAAAGTTCTTTCGATGATTATAATGAATGGTTAGCAGCTAACGAAGATTGAGCAGACTAATAAGTTCAACAGCAATTATGTTCGACAAAACTTTCATTGTATTTATTTATCTAATATATTCTATGATATTTTTTTTTTGGTTTCAAATAAATTATTTTCGAAAGTTTCCGTATTCGCTTACTTCAGTTAATCGTTAAATGCCAATACTGGTTTGACATTTAAAAAATTTTATATCAAAATAGAACTCAATTTTGAGTAAGACAACACATGCGTAAAGTTCAATAAAACGAAGATATCAACGAAACTTTTAATATATATATATATCACAACACGAAAGAAGACATCGACAAGATAATATTAGAGAAAGTTACAATAGACTATCCAGGCGTAAAGTCTTTGTCTCTTTTCTCAATGTTTAATTTTTTTTTCTTGTATCACTAATATTTATTTTAAACTACAATAAAACCTATCTATTGAAAACGCCATCGAAATCATTGGAAAGTATTCATTACACGGAGGTGTTCACTTTAGAATTTTTCTCTGTAACATCTTCTAATTTCCGACTAGCACATTGACTCCAATTTGTTTCATAATCATTTAAATATTTTGATTTATGTTTTAAAAAGATTCGATATTAAACCGAGTAATATATTATATTTTTCAGTCCATTTACGTGGTGATAAGTCATTACCATCTTTATTATTATGAATTAAAAGTACTTTTTTTTTACAAAGGAAGAGCGTGTCATGATGTCATTCTCTACTTTACCCGTACAGCAGCAAACCATTCGTAAAATTTCTTTGCTCGCAGTGCATAAGAAACAGGTGACAAAAAAGAGAAAGATGAAAAAAAAACATGCTCACATTAGAGGAGTTATAACGGTAGAAAGGACCGCAAAAAATGTTTACTAGTAGAAGGATCAACAGGTTTGGTTATCTACCATAAATTGTTAGACATAATAGCTCAATGCTTGAATGATTTTTAAGTGATTTAGAAATCTCATATCAAATTTCCAAAAAAGATTGTCTTATTAACTAGTTCGGCGAATGCCTAATAAAAGACGAATGGTAGTCAATACAATTTCGTAAATGATTCAATTTTACGTTCTTTCTTCAGGTTTTCACAGAATACGTCAAATTCAATACAAAATTCAGGCTTATATGTAATGTAAATAGTAGCGTTATCTTTGTTTCTGATCAATGATTATGCCTAGTATGTATCCACATATCTAATGATTGATGATGATGATTTTTTGACTTGATCCTATAAAAGAAAATGACAAAGAATCAATCTCATGAGTTTTTTTCTTTGGACTATATAAATTTTCTTTTTACTAACTAGTTATCATAACAGAACAAAGAACATTAGATGTAAGTGACAAAATGACTTGAAATCATGGGCTATATACTATAATAGTTGCCATTTTTCTTCCCATTTAAACAGATAATGAAATTGTGATTCAAAATGAGATCGATATTCATTGATTGCATCTTCTTTTGTTTTTGCTTAGCTTAAAGGTCACTAACATTTTTGCAACATCCGTTATTACTCAACCTGTAACTTTTCAAATACAAAGCCCCAATGTGTAGTTAAAAGTTGGATGATTTTAGAATAGATATAAACGGTTCATTTTTGCTTGAAACACCTATGTTGATAATGTATGCCAGTTTGTATTTAAGTAACACTTATGACTGATCTTTTAATAATATTACGATCTTTCTTGACCGATAATAATGCTTCAATTCAAAAATATACTTAATTATTAGATAATAAGTGATTTGTTGTATATCTTTAAATTTGTCTACATATTCATCAAAAACATTGTTGTGCACTATCACCAATAAACGGTGATAAGAGAATAAAAAATACAGCAATAAACAAATGTAATATAAAAAGATAAAATGATGATAAATATAAAAAAACTAAAATACAATTACTTCTGTTAAGACTGCTGGTAGTCTTAGAGCCATATTTCCCTACTAAATTTGTTAATTATATCGAATAAAAACATGCTACTCATACATATCTGCTATCAATTAAAAAAGTCATTCGCAATATAGAATAATAGAGAGAAATAAATGCAAAATATGTTAATGACGTCATGGCCATATGATGATGATCATAGTGATTACGGTTGACGAAGAAGACAGCAAAAATGAAACAAAAACGAATAACAAAGAAAAGAAAGTATCAATTCACTGCATGCAATGATACAGTGAGTGTTGATTGATAAAAGAGTAGAATAATTAATGATGATGACATAGATAGGTAAGGAATTTGCTGACAGATAAAAGGTCTATTAATATTTTCGTGATGATTTGTTGCTTGCATTTTTTATATTAGTAAGATTCGACAACTAAATTATCTTTCCAATGCAAATGTATTTTTTCATTTGTTTCTCATAAGTTGTGTAATAAAGTGAATGAAAATGATTCAATTTATGTAGTAATTAAAGATCTTACTATTTAATTATATTGCAAATTTAGTCCATGACGCAAGTCATATATTATATGTCTTATGTCCTGATATTTATTTAGATCAGTTAAATCTTTGAAACGTTAATAAGAAATACATCGAAATTGAAAAAAAAAACATTTTCAAATATACTTTACAATCAATTTTGATTTTCTACTTTCTGAAATGTGATATTTAAAAAAAATCAAACTTGCTTTCCAACCTATGGAAAATCGAGCATTTTGGAAGCTTTTAAAATTCGATCAATGAATAATCGAAGTTTGAAAGTACTCTAGTCCTTTCAAAGTCGATTTTCTAAAACATAGAATTTATAGTAAATTTAGTGTACGAAATAATCAAACATTATTTCATACCACTTTTTTTTCTTATTCTTCGTATTTTTTGGTTTTAATTGTGAAAATTACAAAAAGAATTTCATTTCTACGAGAAATATCGTTTTCACATATATGTGGACTTTGTTAAATTAATTAGAAAAGTAAGATATTTCGATAGATTGTCAATATAAAATTTTTTGAAAGATATGTCATCATTCAAAAGATATTCTGAATTAAGAGAAACAAAAATGTCCATATCCTATATTTATTGACTATTTCTATGGGCAAGTTTTCAGAAGGGTCATTAAAACTCTAATTATACTCGATACTTGAAAAGCTCAATTTCAGGCGATATTTCTAAGCTTTCTATGATTTTACTTCACCTTAATGTTCTCAAAAACAGAATTAGAAGTACTCGCTTGCATATCTTCTTTTATTGCTGCTTCACATTTACAGTGAACATAGAGAACTGTCATCAGTTGTATACGCGATTCATAGGTGAAATGCATAATTCTTTTCCGTTCGTATCATTTGCAATAGTCAAAGTGACAGCCAATGCTTTAATCCATCGTATTTCGTAATGTGTTGATCTGTTCTATGGTTCTTAAAGTTGGCTTTTTTCTTCCTTTGCTATCACTAGTATCATCTCTTTTCGTTATCTTATTCTCAGAGTCGACTTCCTGATTGGTAAAAATTCATATACAATGTTATCAAAGGAAAAGACAGAAGCATAATTCAGCATATGCCGTAAAACAAACTATTTCTTGCCTATTAGCAAATCAACTGACATTACATGATAAGCAGTGCGCGTCAAACTACTTCTCATATCAAATATTTTTGTTTTGCGTTCTGTATTAAAAACTTGCTTTGATAAACTTGAATGACGTCATATGAGAAACATGTTCGACTTCGCCGACAGAGCAAATTGACTCATGGTATATTTTTTGTAGATTTGTAATCGACATATTCTGGAATACATTTGTTGAATCTTAGATTATCGATAGTGATTAGCAGTTATGGACAGCAAAAAGATTCCTATTAGGATAGCTGTCATTGGTCATACTGATTGTGGCAAATCCACAGTAATCGGACATTTGCTCTATAAGTGCGGCTGTATGGATAAGCGAACCTTCGAGAAATTTGAGAAAGAAACTATGAAGGCGAGTTCTTTACTTGCTTATCCACAGATGGACAAAGGTTCCTTCAAATATGCTCGGTTACCGCACAAACTGCAAGGCGAATGTGAACGTGGCGTCATCATGAATATCGCAGTATGCAGGTTTGAGACCACAAAATACTCGATTACTATCGCCGATGCTCCGAATTATTGTGATTTCATCACAATTATGATCAACAATGTTTCAAAAGTATGTAAAATTTTGTTGTTTTCTTGTGAAAATTTGCACATAAGCAATGAAAAAATTATGTTTTCACTGATATTGATTATAGGCTCCTCCTATTCTTTAGGCTGATTGTGCGTTGTTAATAGTTTCTGCTGGTGTCGGCGAGTTTGAAGCTGGAATTTCGAAGCATGGTCAAACTCGCGAACAGGCAATGCTTGCTTACGTTTTGGGTGTCAAACAAATCATTATCGGCATCAACAAAATGGATACAACTCAGCCGCCCTATTCCAAAGATCGCTTCAACGAAATTAAGACTGAAGCACTCAAATACATGCAGAAAATAGGCTACCAACCACACGTTATTACAGTTGTTCCCATCTCTGGCTATCATGGTGATAATCTTGTTCAAGCATCGGACAAGATGTCTTGGTTTCAGGGCTGGAACGTTCAACGGAACAATAAAAATATCGCAGTCACCACCCTTTTGGAGGCCTTAGACGCACTTGTTCCCCCCGTGAAGCTCGTGATGAGGCCATTGCGTTTTACTGTGTATGACAAGGGCAAAATGAATGGTAATAGAACAATGCTCATGAGTCAAGTAGAAACAGGTGTACTTAGGAAGTGCATGATTGTTCATTTTGCTCCATCAAATATCACAGCTGAAGTCGAGTCGATTGAAATGAACTACGAAATTGTCAAGGGTATAAATTCGATTTCGTTACTTTACTCTACGATGTTCTACGTTTTTCAGAAGCAATGCCTGGCAATTACGTGACAGTCCATGTGAAAAGTACTCAGGCGAAAGAACTACAACCAAGATTAATTGGCTCGGACTCAACACAGGATCCAGCTTCAAAAGTCCTGAGTTTCATTGCCCGAGTAAGAATCTTGAATCTTTTACTTCCATTCGAGCAAGAAGAATAGCAACTTTTATGATCAGATCATGCTGACCAACTGTTTAGACCAGATCAATGCAGGATATACAGCAGTGATCCAATGTCATGGGTCTAGCGTTGCTTGCCAGTTCATCGATCTACTCAAGAAAATCGATCGTCAATCGGGCCAGACCATCGAAGAAGCACCACAGTGTCTTAAACTTGGTGAAACTGCTTTGGTCAAGTTGATCCCACAGAAGCCTTTATGTATTGAACGATTCGATGAGTATCGAGCATTGGGTCAGTTCATTGTTCGAGACATGGGACAGACAGTGGCTTTCGGCGTTGTTCTGGATGTTGAGAAGGCAATCTGAGTAACACAATCAGTTAGTACTTCACAAGAAGACCAAGTATAATCAATCAAAGCAACACATTTGCGAATATTATTTCAGAATATTGATTTCAATTTCATTGGTCATCTTACGGGATTGTTTTGCTTTCTTTTTTTTTTATTTCAGTGAAAGAAAAATAACTGCAACACTTATCTTCTCTTTTCAACTACCAACACATTGTTGCGATAAATATCATGTCATGAGACTGAGCCGAAACGACAAATAAAAGCTAAAGAGACAATGAGAAACTTATGCAGTCATTTTTGTATCGCTTATTTTCTGCAGAAAAAGAGTTAGAATGTTGAGTCGTTATATTTGTGAATTAACTCATCATCACTTAACAACATAGTTCCACTTATCTTGTGTTTTGACTTCTCAAATCATCTCTACGTGGTTGCATCTAAACGAATGACATTGATTTCAGAAATTCTCAACGCTACAATTATTATCATTTACGAAAAATGTTGATGGATTCTTATTCCTATCTTTTGCTACGAGTGTCAACAGTAGTGATTACGACTTATGGAGAAAAGAGTTAGTGTCACAGTCTGATAATACACTAGAAACACTTTCGAATTTCGTGTTTCTACTAGATTCACATTTGAGACATATTTTTTATCAATTATATAAAAAGACAAGCATATTTTTCAGTGATATTTGTCATGACGATCATCAATAATAGGTATTAGGTTGGTTATAGACGTGTTAAGTTGACCTAAATCTCCGTTATATACATTTCGCTATGGACATCTTTGATATTATTACCAAATTAGCTTGGAATACCAGAAAATGCGATTGTGGCATATTATGGCGTTCATTAAATTTATATAAAAAGCCAATTACAAGTGAATTATTTATCTTAATAGTATGCGTTTATATCGTTATGCGACACTGCTCGATAAATCATCCTTATTGAAGAGTGTTTTTTTTTCGAATAATTCCTATTCAATACTGTTATAAAATATCAAATGTTTTATGGTATTAACGAGTATATATTTCGCTAACAACATCATTGAATTTAAGATGAACTTGAATGATAACACCCCGTAGGCCAGCGGCACCATTTTGAACCTTTACTCAACTACAAGTAGTTATGATGAGCCTCTGTCATTCCGTAGTCGCACCTTGATTAATAAAAGAATTGTGATCATTTAAGAGTGATGATAATCTATTTGACATAACGTCTGTTACCAATCTGAACGACTAATTCTGAAACAAGTCTCATTGAATCAAGCTGAAATTTTCAGAAAAGATTCCTCTTTAGTTCTGTGTTTTCTGCTATTGATTTCAGACTGCAGCAACATGTCGAATCAAAATGTTACTATAATCATTACTATGTAATTCGTGAGAGTAGCACATACTTAATAGATGCATTATGAACAGCATGTGTTATTCTATTGAGATCAGTATAAAAGCGAACTTTGCATCTAATAAGATTGAACGAAAACATGAATTTTTGATTGGATTATCGTGAAAAAGTTCCGTTTCACAGTAATATTGAACAAAGCTTTATAAAATTATTCGAGTTTAATATATGATCGAGAAATTAGTTATTAGTATAGCACGTAATTTGTTATCTCAAAATTCCTGGAAACAAAAGTCAAACACAGACAAGAAATCATTATACTTGCTGAGGACAATAAGAAAATTCGAAAAATAAATGCTATGAGTATGATAAAAACCTCGTGATCATGGACTCTTTTAAATGCTTCAACGAAGGTAACGAGCCTTTTTTCGTTCGTCACATATAGAATGCCTTGTAATCGTGAGAACAACAGAATATTTAAAATGATATGTCATTCTTTTTCTCTTAATACCTGCAGCAACAACAGTCAATATTTGCCGATAAGTGAGTGATATCACATAACTAGGTAAGAAGAAAACAGTAGTCATAGCTTGCCGTTATGTAAGCTAAAAGTGACGCGGAATAATCCATTATAAATAAATTAATCTAGGAATCTGGTAACCTTATAATTGGTACAAAATCTTTAAATATTCGAGGGATGCGATTCAGCTAACAATTGAAAGCACTTTGCTTTGCTATCAACTATCTCACAGTAGTATGACAGAATATATTTCTGTGAGCAAGTCAGAATCTGTAAAGATCATTGAGTATGTGGTGGGATTTTTCTGTCATAGTCGAAAAATCTAGCTTCCATTGCTCGCTTCAGCCTAGTCAACTCGATAAATTGTTTTACTTTAGTATCTGAATTTCATAGCTTTTTCCGAAGAAGGATGTTTTTTTTCATCGATGTGACGATCATAACCAATTGAATACGTGATAATGTCTTCGTAGGATTTCAATTCTTAAATTGTGTCATCTGTATTCACAATAATATTACTTGATATTTTGTAGACTTTTGAACAAACTTTGATCTAGTGCAAGATTTAATTTCAACTATGCCCATGACTGCCAATGATTATGGACATGTCAGTAAGTAAATAGCCAACCACAGAAAATTCTCTCCACTAATCCATTTCATACTAGACAATCTTGACGAGACGCAAATGGAAATACTAAAACGTTACTGGATAGCTCTTATCAATGCTATCAGCACTCAAAGTTCATTACCTATCGATCAGATTATCAATTCTGTTTATGGAGATGAGTTCTTTCATGCGATTGGCTACGAGAATCCTGATGTACTTGCATTGCGATGGCTTCGCGTATGCAAGTGGGATATCACCGATGCTGTTCAAAAAATGATGAAAATGCTCAAGTGGCGACATGAGTGGGGAGTTCAAGCCCTTGTGGCTCAGGGCGAGAGTAATCTCTCCTATGAAGAAATCAAGACGGGCAAGTGTTTTTTAATGGGATATGATAAGGCTGGTCGTCCAATCAATTATATATCTGCCAAGGATCACATAAATGGTCAATTTCCCCATGAGACTACACAGAAACTGACCGTTTTAACAATGGAAACTGTTCGAAAACTCATTGACACTCCCGTGGAGACGAATACGATTGTTTTTGATCTAAGTGGATTTCGTTTGAAAAATATGGACTATCAACATATCAAATTTTTTATCAGTCTCATTGAAAATTATTATCCGGAATCGCTTGGTCAGGCAATCATAGTGAATGCTCCGTGGATATTTTACGGTTGCTGGGCCATCATTAGCAAATGGTTGGATCCGGCCATACGAAATGAAATTCAATTTGTTAGGAATGAAGTCGAATTAGCTAGCCATATAGATCCATCTGTTCTCCCAAGAAAATTGAACGGAGCTCAATCTGATTTTGAATACATTCCACCGACAGCTGATGATGAAGCCATGATTGCCACTATCCGTGCCGATGTTCAGGGTAAAGCAAATGCCCAAGTAGCTCACCAAGAAGCTGCTCGACACTATCTGAACGTTACCCTGCAATGGGCTCGCGGTGGCACGAACCCGAATTTACTAGCGGAGAGGGTAATGGCTGTGACGCAGTTGCGAAATGCATTTGAAAAGTTGGTTCCATACATAAGTACTCGAACTTACTATCATCGAGTTGGAGCTATCAAAGAGCAGATCTTTCACGAAACATACAATCAGATTCGTGCGTCGATAGCGAACCACGTCTAGCAATTGATATTAGAACGGTTGTTTGACTTTGTAAATATGCATTTATTATATTCATTACAATAAAAGTTCTCTATTTTGCCTATACTGAATGCGAGCACCTAATATGTATCTTCTTTCACACCAAATTTACAGATAACCAATAATTGATTTTCGTTCTGAAGATGAGCACACAATATTTTATGAAGTTGAAGAAATGCGGGATCTGCAAACTAGAAAGAAATAACGTACTTCGAGTGGAAAAGTGCATCAAAGTACAAAAGTTGTTCAAAATACTTAGGATTAATTTCAAGTACACTGAAATACTTTGAGTTTTATTGCCGTAATGAAGTGTGAGTTTTGATTAGAGTTGGATGAAGTCAAATTGTTTGGCTCCGTAGGTTTTCATTCCTGCAGCTTCGGCTCCAAAAACTATTTTGACTATCATATATACTTATTTTTGTGCTACTTATTAATGAAAATATTCTGGTGATTTTTTTCTAGAAACTGTTCATGAATCTATAAATTAGTATATTTTTGCTCATTACTTAACATACGAAGAATAAATTCATCACTATACTATAATAAAAATACTTGACTATTTTACTGATGTAACTAAGGCATTGACTACGAAAAACAATTCTTCGTGATCACTCCGACATTCGAATGTGGGTAATGTCTCTTCCCATTTACACCGAGTAAAACCCCAAAGTTAATACAAGCATCCACACCCACACCCTTCTGACACACATTCTATCTTGAAATGACCACTAATTTCATTTGAATAACAAATGCCTGCTCTTCTACCCCAGAGAAGGTTTGAGGAAAAACAAAAAAAAATGAGAAAAATATTTAACCATTAATTTTCATTATATAAAACTGCATAGTTCATTTCTATCGGCACTTGCTTTTCTATGGTTTTCAAAAACCAACATGCACAAGCGAAAATCAAGATTAGAAACTAGAAACTCGATGCTATTTCATCTACTACCATTTTCTCCATGATATTTAATCTTTTTATTATATCTTGTTTACCTGTGAAATTATGAATAAAAACGCAAAAGAGACTTTTCAAAATAAAAAAGTGATCGTTATCTTTAAAAATATTTGTTGGTAATAGTAAGACATATGTGATGTTATTAGTAATATATTTTTATCACAACTATAAGATAAGACTAACTTTTCTCACACCTGTATATTAGTTGGAATCTACTAAAGCTCATGGAATAGACACAGAGGTAGAACAAAGAAATTGAGAAGAGAGTGCGAGATCAAATAAGTAGAATAAAAAATAAATGAAAGATAGTCTGAACGGTTATGAAGGCGGAGAGATGAAGATAAATTAAGAAACAAGACACTGATCTGATATTGTCAACTATATGTCTCTTAGTATCTCACCTAATAAACAGATAATAAAAATGCCAAAGCTTTCAAATCTTGTTACTCATCTCACTTTAAAATTTTCACTTCCTTTCTCTTGGCAAAGGAAAGCAAGAAAAGACAACTAAAGCTTTCCTTTCCTAAGAAAAGAAAAGTTAGCTTTTTACTTTCCATTTTGGAAAGGAAAATGAAAGCGCCGTTCTTAATCCCGATTCATATATACATAAATCGTTTAGTCATACTAGTCAAATGTGTAGCCGCAGATAAATAGAAAACATAATATTTCAATGGCAGGAATCCATCATACAACTAGTCTTGAACTAGAATGTTTTTTTTTCTGCATTCTTCGTTACCACCGATGTACGCCGAATATGAACTGTTGATATGAATAGAAAGTCTATTTGTCTCTGCTTAACATTCACAATGAAAGATAGAACTGATCGTCTTGTTTTTCTTCTTTTTTTTGTAGCATAACCGGAGCAACGACATCCACTGGAGGTAAGATGCATGCCCTTTTTCTCTAAGTAAAGAGCAGCTCTCGCGTATCCAAACTTTTGTAACGCCAACTTTCCCTCGATTTACATCAGACGATCCGAACTTCTCCATTTTGAAACTCGGAACATTTTCGTTTTCCTAGAATTTACTAAGAGAATCGTGAACAAATCAGAAGTTATGTCTAGGAGACAGAATGATAAAAGCTTTTGATCTCTGAATCAATTTGTACGTTGAAAAGCTAAATTCAAGATAATTGTAATGATTAGTCTTTGGGTACTTTTTTTTCGAAAACATTCTCACTGATATGGAATAAACAAACATTATGTCGAACTTAAACTCGATTAGATTCGTAGATTTTGACATATTGAATTCTTTAAAGTTTCTTCCTTTCAAAAACTCCAGAGTCCATCACTGTTGTTATTAGAAGAATCTCATTAATAGATAATCTCCATTTGAACAGGTAGCGAAACGAATTCGGCACTGATTTTGGGCTTATCCTTGTTGGCTGTACCGTTGACTGTATGCGTTTTGTGTTGCCTTTATGAACTCTTCTGGTAAGTCAAAACCTTTAACTCTGTTCGGTTTGCGACAGAATGTATTTGTTTTGTATTCATTGTAAAACTTTGATGCCGATTAGCCTGAGTCGACGCAGAAGCCCTCATCAGTTTGATGAAAAATTCTATGAAATATATGATTTTATGAGACATGATAAACATCAGTCATACATTATTCCTTGTCTGTTAGGAGTTCCGGTGCACGACATCGTAGGCAGAAACGAAAAGAAGAACAGGAACTACAGAATCGTAGTTACCTACTCTCTGATATGAATAATCGCTCACGAGTGACACCAGATACACATGGAACTGCTCCAATAAGAAGACCCAGCAAGAGCTATCAGATCTACAATATACTCGAAAATAGATCGACCCTTTCTTCAGTCCACAGCAATTTAACTATGTCTCTGGATTCAACTGCTGTGAGAGGAAATGAGAATGGCAGTGTCTTGCCAATGTATTATACAAGACAGGTGTCGACTAATGGCAATGCATGGGTCACATCCAAACCATCATCTCAATCTCACGGTGAACCCTCAGCATCGCCTGATCTCAGTGAGAAGGAACACAACAATGGCACTTCTTTGAAAGCTTACGGTACTGTTCATCCAGGTTCAATGAACAATGATCAGAGATCAAGAATGATGGATAGAAGTCCATCTACAGATCAAGCGTCAGTATTGATGAATATGAGTTTCAGCAAAAAGTTGGCCAAACTTTATCTCTTCGGAATCAAGCCGAGATGAAAACCCATTTGTAATTTCAATCTGCGCTGGACTTGTCTAGACTTCAAAAATTTCATTTTACATCCTGTAGTTTGCTTTCATATATCTTCTTGCCTTAGTTATTTTGTGTTTGTGAATCGGAGTGATTTTTGAATAAACAACAATTAACCATGAATACTTCTGACTCTCGTTATTCACTGGTACAAGCGTGTTGGATGTGAAAGCAATATAAAAGAGAAACATTGGTATGGGTGTGTGTAGATGTTGGATTCTTCTATTTCTCCACACTCACATCCTCGATGGTGGAAAGTGAATCAAAGGTAGAGAGCTTCAAAATGGACCCAAGCGAATCTAGACCCGAACCCACTGTGGGTGTGAGTACACGGTATTCAATTTATCCACTTCAACATCTACATTCACACACCTACGCCCAAATCTTATTTAGAGCAAGGTATTTACACTATATACAGAATTGAGCACCCTGAAAGGATGTTTTTGCTTCGATGAAAGTATTAAAGAATATGAACAGTGAATGGGAAAAAATAAAGGGTATAAATAGAAATCAATGTCTTCTTAATAGTTGACTGAATAGTAAACACAATATTCTTACAGCAAGGTCATTTTATTTTGGACAAGAAAAGAATGTCATTGAAACCATTTTTGTAATGACATAATTTTTCGTGTTTTTGGATATTTAGAAATTAGTATTATTTGTCGTTTGTTTTTTCAAACTTTTACAAAATTTTTCTAACATGTGTTTTGATACATTGTTACCATCTTTGTTTAATTTCGTTTCGTGATATCACTAAAAGACAATTGGATTTGTTTTTCTAACCCAAGGTCTCGACAAATATAATTCTCGAATAAACGATCTCGTAGTCGATGAATTAGTAGATAAACACTATAGAGTGAAAAAATCAACTCTTATCGTTTTTCTGTCTGAAATTTTCGTTGAGGGCGCACAAACAACTGCTTTTAGATTTATAATCGAAAACAAGCTGTGAAACAAGGTGTGCATCATACCTAACACAATTATTATACACTGAAATGCGTACAGTGAACTACTAAAACAAATTGTCGAATCATTTTTAAAGGTTGATAGATACCATTCTGCTATTGTGTCGTGAATATTAATTCAACAGATAAACAGGTTGGCATAATATGTCCAGTGAAAGTACAAGGATCCGCGAGCATTTTTGTTGAAGACTATAAGATATGAGTCAACTACATATAGATCGAGAAAGGAAAAGATGCATCACACATGCATAACAATGAGAAAAAGAATGAGATGAATAAGGACTCACGAATGAACCACAAACGTTTCTACCTATTGTTAATCAAATATTAAGTCCAAGCAGATGAAAACACGTACTTGCCTACATTGATGATATTGTTATATATTCAAACAATTTTACTAAACATCTGCAACACATTGAAGAAGTGTGCTCTTTATTCCATGAAGCTAATTCTAAATAAAACTTTTTATAAATAAGAAGTGGCAAGAAGAGAAATATTGTTTCTTCGTCATTTACTTAAAGCTCGAATATTTGATTTTACATATTTAGATTCGTTGAATATTTATCGTTTGTAAAATTCTAACGAGTTTTTGTCAATAAAAAAACAAATTTTTTATTCACTTTTGAAACCATAACGTTCTTGTCTTACTAAATTTGAAATAATCTATNATTTGCTACTTCCCTATGTTAAAATATTGAAGCATCATTGTTTAAACACTTGAATTTTCAGAATCATTAATTTAAAAAAATATGCGGCGAAGAAAACGTCCAGTTTGCCTAACTTCGAATCGTGAACATGGTTAGTAATTATCACAGAAACTCGAATGCTAAAAATGCTGTGGAAACCGTGCAAA